GTGGCTGGCGACCTGGTCCATACCCAGAGCTGGAGGCTAGGGGAGCTGAGGGCTGGAAAGATGGAATGAGATGCCCGCATTCAAGAAGTGAGTGGGAAATGGAGCGACTTTGTCCTTTCTGCACTCTTTGAACAGTCAACCCACTAACTGATGAACCGGCTGCTCCCACTGGCCCCCACGCCCAGGGGAGTGCAGCTCCAGGGCTGACTGACCCCTGCTCAGCTCAGCCAGGGCCTCACCTCACAGAGCTGGGAGCAGAGTGGCTGCCGCATCCCAGGCATCCCAGCGTTGTCCACGTCGGACAGACCAGTGTTTTGGCTCTTCCTCCCCCAGGGGCACTTGCTGGCCTTTGGCAAGGATGCCACGCAGTGGCTGGGGCAAAGCGGCTGCCATGGTGTGGGGAGACACCCTGCTCAGAGCCTCCTCAGTGTGCAGAAATGGAGGACTCTGAAAGGAGAGGGGCCCCAGAAGCAGACAGGGCGCCATCAGCCCCAGCCACGCCTTGCATGCAGGCATCTGGCCCTGACCACTGCCTGGTGGCATTTCCTCATCTCTTCACAACCTTCAGCCTCCATTCCAAACCCTCATGGTGCCAGAAGTAGGCGGTGAGAACAGTGCTGTTCCCAGTTATCTCAGCCACTCAGCCAGCTGGGGGACGGCAGGCGGGGTCTGAGGGTCTCGGCAGACTTCCTCTCCTCCTGGCCCTCCCTAGTGGGGCGGTCAGGACAGAGCTGACACTGAGCTTTGAGGTCTGTGTTCCAGGCGGGGTGGGGTACAGCCCCACACAGGAGCCCTGGCCTGGCCTGCCCCCACCTGTCTGACAGTCAGGACTTCAGAGCTAATGAATGCCGGGGTGGGGAGCTTGTGGACCTGAGGCTGCTTCCTCGCCTCCTGCTGCCCACAGAGGTGGCCGGACAGGAGGAAAGTGTGCCCATGGGGCGGGGGTCGTGGCAAGCGTTCTCTGTGGCTTCTGCCTCTTTGGCAAATCATGAAGAGTGCACGGGGACTCTTGGAGGTGGACAGGCCAGAGGGGCCGTCAGGTCTCTGCCTGGAAGATGGGCCTGCTGGGTCCTCTCCTGATGCGGCCCAGGGGAGGCTCTTCCTTCTCCACACCGTCGCCTCCCAGGAAGGACAGACCTGCTCTCAGCTGCCTCTCTCCTGTTCGTCACCAGGTGACAGGTGCAGAGAGGGGCTCCATGGGCACCTGGTGGGCTTTTCCACAGCACGGAAGAGACCAAGGCCCAGGACGGGCTGTGGAAAGGGCCTCGTGGAGGGGCTGGAATCTGCATTAGGCTGGGCATCCCTTCCTGCCCCCTCCTAGGCAGCCTGGTGACACCCAGGGCTCAGTGCAGAGAGGGGCCAGGAGGGGAGGGAGCAAAGACAGGAACTGGCAGGCATCTGGGGACTAGCTGATTCCTCTGCTCTCCTGCCCAGGGGAGGTGACCCAGACCCAGCTGCCTTGTGCCTGGGAAGCTGTGGGGGCTCCCTCATCCTGTCTGGCAGGTCCTGACGGCAGATCTGAGAGGGGCTCTCTTCGCACGCGAGGCCCCTGCAGCGTGCCCCATCGCGTGACAGCAGCAGCTCAGCAGGAGGGAAGTGGTCGGCGGGTGGGAGGAACCAGCCGGGGTGGGCGGTACCAGCCAGGCTGCCGAATCTCCCCTTGCTGCCTTAGTCCTGCGGATCCTAGGCTGCAGTGCAGGAGTCCACTCCACTGCTCTGGCTGGGAAGGACAGAGGGAGGGCGACCCCCGTTGTGCCCTGGGCGTGCACAGGGGACCCCTCCCACTCCATGCCTGCCAGCCCAGCCCGTGGTGCCCAGCCCCAGGACCACGGGCGCCCTGGGCTCCCCAGGATGAGCTGGGGCAGGACCACAGGAGCCAGGAGGACACTGACCAGGCTCCAGGGTTGTTTCCCTCCTCCGAGCTCTGAGAAGCTGGGGCCCCCTGGAGTCAGAGCTCAGGCTCACCTTCCTAAAGGTTCCTGCCCTGGCCTCAGTGCCTCTGCCTGCCTACCCGGGCCTGCTGTGGGTGGCTCTGCCATGTCTGCTCAGGGATGGAAGTGCCCTATGGCAACTTCAGTGCGACCAGGGGGCACATGCAGCTCGGAGTGCAGCGTGGACAGCGGGCCACGGAAAGATTAACAGCAAAGTGAGGGCCTGTTCTGTCCTCGCTTTCAACATCTCAAAGTTCGGACCTTCACTGCCTTTGGCCTCAGGAGGCTGGTGGCTGGTGCGGTCCGGTCGGGTGGTTGGGGGTTGGCCTGGCAAATGCTCCTGCAGAACCTTCTGGGAGCTTGGCCTCTCATGGATGGGTCATATTTCCCCGGAGTAGACTGGCTTTCTGGCAGAAAGGGGACTGTTTCTTGTGTTCTGTGTGAGCGGAAGCCCAGTGCTTACCAGCTGTGGGAGCTCATGGTGATGCGGTGATGGCTTCCGAGAGAGGGGAAGGGACAGAGAAGCCGAGACCAGAGGCCACCATGCAGACAGACGTGGCTGCCACTCCTGGGCTCTCCCAGGGTGCCTGCGTTCACAGAACCTTTGTGCTGTGGTGCTAGCTTGCAGACAGCCCTGCCCAGTCACCAGGGCTAGGTAAAGGCCCAGTGTGGCCTTCCTGGGAAGGACAGAGCAGCCAGTTTCAGGGAGCACGTGAGGGGTCTTCACCCTCATGGTACTGCCCGGAGGGGCAGGCCCAGGTCTGAGAGGAGTGGGGTGAAGCAGAGCATCTCAACCCTAGGTCTGGGCCCTGGTGAGATGCAGAAACGGGGCACAGGGGCCTGGGTGCTTGGGGCCCCACAATTCTAATGAACTCTGGGTGAGGCCAACACTGGGATTCCTGGCCCACAGGGCTGTGGGGCTCCAAGGAGTGCAGATAATGTAGAGTTAAAACCAGAAGGCGAGGAACCAGCAGTTAGCGTAATGGCTATGTCGCTGGACTCCCACGTAGTCAACCGCAGTTCGAGTCCCGGACCCGGTGGCTTAAAACTCACGCCGGGTGCGTGTGCATGCATGCCCAAGATCCCGAGAGGAGAATGGAGGAGAAAGGATTGCGGTGTGACCATCCCCCTTGGGGGGTGATTTCTCGCTTTCTGTCTCTATGTCTCTCTCTGTTTGGCGAGCGCACACGCCCTATAGTGAAAACCTCTCAAAAAAAAAAAAAAAAAAAAAAAAAACCCAAAGGACACCTACCGACA